CGCAGTATCGTCGAGAGCCTCTCATGTCATGATTCCTGGGTATTTGGCGATTTTTGTGTTATGTTCACTGTCTGGGATTAGAACAGCATAAGTATAAATGAAGTAAGCGGCTCACAACTTGCATTATTCCTTTAATAGGCTTTTTTTTTCACCGTCGTGTTTGTTCTCACTATCGGCACTGCAACTGATTCATTCTTAATTATTCGCAATTCTAAGTTTGTCTCATCCATTTAAGCTCAGGACTGTAAAACAACTCTGCCTGTACTTCCAAGTAATTCATTCAGTTGAGAAAAATAGCAAAACGTTGAGATAGCAAAGCCAAAAGTCTAAAATACCTTATCTTTCTGCCCCGACGGCCTGTTTTTTCGTTGTTGTTCGTCAGCGCTTGAAAAGATTCATATTTTAATTTCAGTTATTCTACTTTTTCCAGGTTTATCGTGCCAAAGAACGAATTGACGAAGCTTTTTCTCAGCGCTGCAGACCAAGACCGGACAACGTATAGGAAGCGGAGAGAGTTAAAATGCGTTAGAAAAAGATGATATTGAATTCGGTTGCTTGTTCCCTGGATTCCAGGATCTCAAAGCCACTTTAAATGAGATCTCTGCTTGAATATCGTTTCTCATCCGTATATTCGATTCACAGTTGAAACTTTCGGCAACATTTTCGAAATTTGAAGAAGTATTATTCCGTGTCCGTGACAAATAAAACATCGTCTTTATAGTATTTCATGTCTTCATGCGAATCATCAAGTGTTTTTTAACGATTCATATAGTTAGCGACCTGACTGCTTCAAATTTATTGCAAAAATTCATGGTCGCATCAACAAGCCTAGGGCGTTCCAGCCCGGATTTTCACTCGCTGATTTGTATCGGTGACTGAAAAAGGGCATAGGCATTCTGTCAGAAAAGATTCTTCCGCTGGGCCACTGAGGAATCTCTAGTAGGACCCGAACTCGAAACTTAGAGTGGCAGGTCCGCGTTATACTGCGGAGCTGCCGATTCATTGTAGATAGTGGCAAAAATCGAACCCAGAGACTTTCGTATTAGACGAGCATTCTGCCGCTCACGATGCTGCCAGAATTCGACTTTGGGAAATCAGCGCTGCAGACAACA